CGTCGCGTTCCGGAGACGAAAGAGACACGTTCGTTAGTGGGTAAATCGAAGGCAGGGTAACGAACGAGCACGTTAGGATGTTGTATGTAATAGCGAGCTCTGGCTAGCCAGCGCAGCGGTTCTCGGCTAGTCGTACGTGTAGCAATGGTACCCGCGAACTAGCACGCTTCGTGGCTTAATGCTGTAAATGCGGTAAAATCGATAGTCTCTCGGACTTTCTCCAGGGTGTGCAGGGACAGGAGGATCGCCTTCGAGGTCGAAAACTGAGCAACCTCGGTGCGACCAGTGGCGAATGGTTATTAATAACGAATCGATCGTGCTCGAAAGTAGTCACGGGGTTGGATGAAAAGCCAAGCCAAGCCGAGCCGAGCCGAGCCGAGCCAAGCCAGGTCAGGCCAGGTCAGGCCAGGCCAGGCCAGTCCAGTCCAGGCCAGCCCAGCTCAGCCCAGCCCACAGCCCAGCCAGGCCGTTTTAAAAGGGACGAGAATTTGTTCGAGCCTCTCAGTCGCGGATGAAAGTCGTGAAATGGTCTGTGATAGAACGACCAGTTGGCCGCCAACTCATTTACCGCTCGAATAAATCCCGAGTGTTCTCTTCGATTCGTATTTCTGGTTCGATCGAGGCATATTCGCGTCCAATGTTGAACGACGATACCCCCGATCCGACTTGGACCGCTTAGATACGTTGATCGAACAACTGGGCCAAACATCCTCGATCGTCGGTATTATTCGTCCGCGCGATTCGTCCGTAGCGAAATTCGTAATTGTAGAGTTTGGTTCGATTCGAGTCCACGGGTCGGATGATATTTCTAACCGCGGTCTTGGTTGATTAAACCAAACGGCTACCTCGAATCCATTAGCAGTAATACGTAGACGAGGGGTTCGCGCGTATATCGTTGATCCATATCACTGGCGCAGAAAGGACCTCGTAAAACGACGATACGAGCAACTTGGATATCGACCGATTCGCTACACGAATATGCTTTCGTTAGGATCGAACAGTACTCGATTAAATATTACTGTTATTGGAACGATTCTTAATTTACGAGTGGTACGATCGCGGTTTTTTGGGTTTCGACGCGATAACCCCCCTGTACATATCTATTTATACGATAGACTGCTCGGTAATTTATTCGGTGCTGAAAATTACGCAACTTGATTCGATTAAAAGTTTACGCGAGTATCATCTGTTGGTTGCTTTCCGGTTTCGTTTCCTTGGCTACGATTTTCTACGACTCTACTTACTTTTTCCCTGTCTCGCTTCCTATACCACCACCACCCCCCCTCCGGCCCTTTAAACTTACCGTCGTTTCAACTTTACTTGTAGGATGTTCGTGTCCATTCCTGTCCTGTCTTCGTTCCTGCCCTCTCTTCTCCTCTCCTCTCCTCTCCTCTCCTCTTCTCTGCGTTTCACTTTTACTTTAATTCCTTTTACCGGCGACGTTGTATTTGGTATTTAAGGCGACCAATTTTTTCTATCTTTCCGAGTGTCCTTGCTGGAAATGCAAAAAGAAGCTATCCCCGAGTAAGTGTCGTCCCGAGAGCTTGGAACTTTCCGGGGCTGATTTCGCGAGAACGAATAAAAGTAATTTCCTAAAGAGCCCCTGGTTCTATCCTCATCCGTGACCTTGGAACCCAGATTTCTTTCTTTAATCCATCGTGAAACGCACCGTTGTTTATGCGTGGCAGGCGTGTAACGACGCGGATTATTTTTCTTATCTTGTTGGCCGTAACAAGGATTCTCGCGAAACGATCTTGCTACAATTTCTTCCTTTTCCCTTCTCGCTCGCTCGAAATTTCTGTTCCTCGGTGCAATCTCTTTCCCGTTACACGTTACGAACCGAAATTCTTGTTCGGATGTTCATTGAACCGGAAAAGAAGAGGAACGCGCGTCGCGTACCAAATATAGCTACGTATACGTATGCCCACGGATAGGTGAGACGTCGTAACCTTTGATTCTTTGAACGGTGGTGAGAAAATCGATAAAGCGCCACTCTGCGCTTCACATCTGCTACTTGGTTGCCGGTTTATCTATCGTTTCTTCATTTGCTGTAAACGTTGGCGGGCGTATTACATTGCTTTAGACGCGATTCCGACTTCTCGTTACTTTTCAACCTTTAATTTATCTGTAAAAAAATATCGCTAACAAAGATTCCTCTGCAACTTTTATTCTTCTTCTTCTTCTTTGTTAAGGCACAGCATAGAAAAGTCTCAGATTTTCGAGAATCCTAGATTTTTATCCAGGGAATATTTCTTCGCGACGCTTTTATACCCCGAAAGGGGTTATTAAAAGTTTAACAAGTTCCTTGTACTTCCTCTACGGGTTCCCTGACAACCCGTCCTCTTGGTACAATCAATGACGTCCTCCATTGTATCACATCCTTTGATTCGTGTACCAACGCGACGCGACGCGACGCGACGGTGAGAGATTTAGTAATCGCAATGCGACAGCGAATAAAGCCTTGTGAAATCGAGAACAATATCGACTAGAAAGTTCCGATCCATTTCTCTATCGTTCCAGTATTTAAATCTTCCATCTATTTCGATTATTGGTACTCGCGTCTCGGGTATACAGGTTGAGGCATACAGGTTGAGGCGGAACGGATAAAACTACCGAGCAGTTGGCGATTCTACATGGAAAGATAAGTAGGAAAGGAAGAATAACGTTTAATTCGTTCGCGGGCTTATTTTCGAGAAAATCGACTTTGCAGAGTCGCGCTTATCGGATATGCGTGCAATAGAGTAACGCTTGGACTTGATCGCAAGTAGAAATAATTACTAATGGTCAGACGCGGCAGTAAAATTGTATTGAATTGCAGGGGTATCCGTTGAAATGTCTCTTCCAGAATGTTTGATAGGAAAAAATGTTATTGATTCGTTGCGTCGCGTCGCGTCCCGTCGTGTCGTCCTGCCCCTCGCCACTCCACTCTCTATGCATACGTATTACAATATGGTTTGTTCTTGTTTGAGCTCCGGTCGGTAAAAGAATCGGACTCGAAAGACTTCCTGCCGATTAGCTCGTTAAGAGGAACTCTTGTTCGTCGAATTTTTCATTGTGACTGCAACGACTCGTGAAAATAGCGAAGCCTCGAATAGTTTGACCGTCGAAAAGCACCGCGTGTCGATCGTGCCGCGAGTCTTTTCGCCAATTTCTTTCTTATACACGGCCAACGTACGGCCGTTCCCTTGAAACTTTACTTCGTTGTCCTTGCAAGCGTCCACGTAGAAAGATCCTTGGCGAAGAAGTAGCTTGTTAACAGAGACCGAGACCGAGACCGAGACCGATAAATATACGTGTACATATGATATACATATGTAGTTGGCAGGACCAGGAGAGCTTGGGCTCTCGCGGATTTCACTAAAATAGAACATAGATAACATTTTGCTCGACGCAATACCGTGAAAATCAGATTTTCTCGCAAAAGAGAAAACCGAGGTTGCGTGGTTGCTTGCTAGGCTAGATGCTCATCCTTGAGTCGCATGCTCTCGAACACGACAATTTATCGTACGTTATTTCGAGTTTTTACTCGATGCGATGTTTACGTTTCGTAAAATTTTTAAACGGATCAGGAATGTTTCTGTAATTTCATTTTCTCTCTCATTTCCTTTTGTGTTCATTTGTGTAACCTGTTGGCAATGTTTCGAGTGACACGAAAATGGTAACGCATACACACACACACACACACACACACACCGTTCTCTCTACTTCCTTTTTGGTTCGTTTTCCTCTGTTTCACTTACGCTGTTTATTTTTCCCGTGCCAGGTATCGTCGTTATTTATCGTCGAACGTTGTCGTCATTTTTCACGAGAACGTATTACAGAAGCGCGGTCCCGGCACGCCGAGGGCGGAACAGCCGCTTGGTTACTCGGTTTCGGGCAAAACGACCTTTTGAAAAATCAGTCGGTGGATGTCTCGTTTCCTCTCGTAACCAGAAAGTCCGAGATTGATGAAACGGCCGAGGCGGAGATCGATCCGGTGCGTCGTGGCGTGTTCAAGTTGGAAACAATCCACGAACACGTTGACGGAACGCGCCGTTAAGAAGGATTTAATTAAAGGGGCAAACGAGACTTGTTGTTGGGAATAACGCGTCCAACTACCTATACATATAGTTTTCTGTTCGCACGCGATTCATTGTACGGTAGGTAGTACATATTTTCGCGCTCCAGCCAGCTTCCCCTTGCTCTCGCCCTCGCCTTCGCCCTCACCCTCGCCCTCGCCCTCGCCCTCGCCCTCGCCCTCGCCCTCGCCCTCGCCCACGCTCTCGCATTTCGCGCACATGTACAGTGGCGCGTAATTAAATTGCGTTATTTGCATACCTTCCGCCTTCTCCTGTAACTTTGTCGGCAATTATTTACGATGCATCCACTCGCGAGGACGAGTACGGGCTCGCTCGAACTATACATACGTACTTATGTATAACCAGCATCGTCCAAGACTTTTCGATCGCTAGAATCAGCATCGTGACAAATATTGTACACGGTTATACGCTTGGGGAATAGAAAATACTTGTTCGATCATTCGACGACGAGCTTTGTCCGGCACTTGTTTCGACTATGCCCGTGCAATTGATTCGCTTTTAATAATTTCCGAGTAGGAGAGAACGCGAGGCGAAGCAGTCGTTGACCGAAACTTTCCGCTTGGTGGTTGTTCCGATAAATTGATGTAGATCCCGGCTCGTCGACATTACTCCCGACAGGGGTTTTATAGAAGCCTCGAGGGCACAAGCGCGCTTACTTTGTTCCCCGACAAGCGCGGCGATGCGTTCCGTCGAGCTTACCAGCCAAATTGTCAATAAATAGTTGCAAAAGGTAGATTTTGTCGTGCGATAGGTGGTTAATGTCTGTCGGTTTTCTATACGGGAATCGGAGCAAAGTTAGCCTAATCCGAGCGGCGAATCGCTCACTCTTTCTCGATAAAAGAGAGGAGGGTGTGTGTAAAGGGTGCGTTGGGTGGCTGTAAAGGAAACGAGGCGTCGAAAATGACGATCGAATTGACTCACCTACGAAAATCTCTGCTCCAACAGGCATATATAACCGGATTCATCCCGCTGTTGATCCAACCGAGCCACGTGACTGCCGCGAACACAATCTCCTCCTGCCATATGCATTGCGTGCAGAATCCCGACCAAAGGTTCACCACGAAGAACGGCAGCCAACAAACGATGAAGACGCCCATTACGATTCCGAGGGTCTTCGCGGCTTTCTTCTCCTTGGCGAATTTCGCTAGTTTACGCGATAGCGAGAAATTCTTTCCCAAATGTTGCTTGTTAATTCTGGCGGAGGGAACCCTGGTCAGGCAGTTGTTTTGTATCGCCGTCAACGGTTCTTCGAGGTCCTGCAAATCCTCGGGCGTACTCGAGGCGGTACGGAACAAGTGTCTGGCGTCTGTGTTTGTCCCGCCTCCTCGATGTATCCTCAAAGTGAGCTCCAATTCGCCGGAGGCCATGATAACCTGCTTAGTACCCAGCTTGAGACTTCTCGTTTGGATGACGGCGGCTCTGTAAATCTTGTAGTAGGTAAAGACCATGACGAACAGCGGCACGTAAAAGCTGATGGTCGAGGAGAAGATTAAATAACCGAGATGCTCGGTGAAGGGACATTTGTCCTCCGGCACCTCTTCGGTTCTGACTGCTCTCCACCAAGCGATAGCTGGAAACGAGATCGCGCTAGAGCAGATCCACACGATGCCGATCAGAATGGCGGCCCGTCTCCTGGTCATTCGTCTCGGATAGGTGAACGGATCGGTGACCGCCCAGTATCGGTCCAGGCTGATCACGCACAGATTCAAGATCGACGCGGTCGAGAAAAGAACGTCCAACGATCGCCATACGTCGCACCAATCGTGCGTGAACAGCCAACGGTTCTCCAGCACTTCGTAAATCGCGCTGAATGGCATCACCACCAGACCGACCAAACAGTCCGCGAACGCCAACGACGTGATAAAGTAATTTGTCGCCGTGTGAAGGTACCTCTCCCTCACCACCGCCAAAATCACCAGCGTGTTACCGAACACCGTCGCCACCGAGAACACGAACAAAAGTATCGCTAGACCGACCCTCTCTGTCGCTAGGTTCCACAAATCGTCCTCCTCCTCCTCGTAACTGGTATTCTGCGACGGATAGCCGCCGTTGTAAAAGCTTCTGTTCAACTGTTTACTCGGAACGATTGACTCTTCCTCCGATCCGAGCATATAGATCGCGCTTTCGTTCATTTTTCGTCCCGCGTAGCCAACCGACGACGACAGATCGCGTGCCTTCTTCCCCTATCAGGTGGTCCTCGTTTCCTCCAAGACGCCGCCACCGCCGCCGTCGCCGCCTTTCCTCCTATCGATTCCTCTATACCGTCTCATTTTCACTCGATTACATACGCGTTACTACACCTTTCTTTCGAACGATTATTTTACGGGGCACAGTCTCCTCCTCGTCTCGCTCGATATCTGAAACAGACGAAAAAGCACAAGTAAGAGCAGAACCGTGCACACGCCGACACATTAACCTAAAGTTACGTTATGCTCCGCCTCGCCTCGCCTCGCCTCGCCTCGCCTCGCCTCGCCTCGCCTCGCCTCGCCTCGCCTCGTCTATCCTCGGGGAAATGGTTCTATTTTATTCCAATCTGCTCGCAAACCAGCATACTACCCTTCGACCGGCTCGCGACGCTGCGACACACTTTAATTAATAGATGGGGAACAACTCGCGTAAAATACAGCAATTTATCAGTTTCGATTTCCCGCGAAACAAATACGCCCGACCGTCACCGACCGTCACCGACCGTCACCGACCGTCACCGACCGTCACCGACCGTCTTATTATTCCTGATAATTATACTATTTCTGCCACGGACGTTTACTCGTATTGCCAACGAAAAGAGAGATATTTTCTTTTGCTTTTTCTTTTTCTACGCTAACCTCCAATTATTTCTCTCCGTGTACCTATCGTTTTAAAATTCTTTATTAACCTTCAGAGGGGTTTACATTTGATTAGACCAAAGGGAAGGAGTTTCCAACATATTGCAATCGCTTGGGAAATACGTGCTCGTTGGACCTTGTTTCGATAAATTTGTTCCACCGGTTGAATTAGCAGTCGGACGTGAATCAACCTTTTTCTCAAGACGTACGACCATCGAATAAAAATAATTTCAATTTAAAGTGATTTTTTTTTTAAATCATTCTCCACGTATAGAATCGTTTTATAAGCTTCAGACTATTATTATAGAATTATTTTTGCGCGAGTCTTTCTACGTAGTACAGTATCCATTCGGTTGACGAGTTTGGCGTGTTTCCTGGTCGAAACGAGCGAACCGTTTCTTCGCCCAAAGTACCGGAATAATTTTCCTCTCGGCGTAATTGTCAATCATTTCGCAGCGGTACGGTGCGGTGCGGCACGGTGCGGCGTGGCGCGGCACGGCGCGGCGCAGCGTTCGCTCGAACGAACCGTCGATGCAAACGATTTAGCAATTTTTCAACGGCATACAATAGACCCCGCGCGTCTATATTTAGCGAGGAGAAGCGTGGATAAAGAGGCGAGGGAAAGCGGTGTTACAGAGGGGTCTGTGATTTCGTGGCCAGACCGGAGCTTGGAAACAGGGCCGAGCTTTCATCCGTGACCTGGGAGAATGTTTACCGGTACTTGATCAAAGGGGTTTCGATCCTCGAACGATCGGGCTAGCCCGCGCTACATCGACTCGAGCCTCGGATTTTGTCTCGTTCACACCCCTTCGACGTCATCATCGTAGCCGTGTCGACGTCGCGTTCCTCGCCGTAACACGTGTCAGGGCCGATAAACCTTGCGTCGCACCACATCTATCCAACACCAGCCGCACCACGCGCTGCGCCCACACAACCCGACACGTCGCGGCGGTTCTTTTCACCCGCAAACCAGTCAGCCGAATTTATTCTTTACTTTAAATATGTATTCTCCCTGTCGTTGGTGCGCGCCAGGCTTTTCTCAGCATTCATATTTCGAGACCGTTTCGTTCCGCTCGTCGAAATTCTACCCTGCACCATGTACGTTATTATTATCATCTATTTACTTGTCACGAACCAAATAACACCCATTACTTGACTACAACGATCGATCGACGATCACTTCAAACTTGTAAATTCTCGTAGGCGAGCAATCGACGATCAAATAACTAATAATCGCGGAAGGTAGCAAGGTAGCAAGGTATAGCAAGGTAGCAAGGTATAGCAAGGTAGCTTTTTGCCCGCAGGACTCTGCTCCGTTGCTTACCAAGTTTCAAGCGGTACCAAAATTTCGATCGTTACCGCTATTAACTAATTAAACGACGATTAGAGAGTCGAGAAACTTGCCGTCTCTGATCGATACGACGACGTTACAACGATCGCGTTACTTTTCCATTGGAAAACGGAACTGTAGCAATCGGTCGATCTCATTTGCTTGAAAAACCTTTTTGTCGTAAATGTCGCGGCGTGGCGTGGTGTGGCGTGGTGTGGCGTGGTGTGGCGTGGTGTGGCGTGGTGTGGCGTGGTGTGGCGTGGTGTGACGTTCGTATTAAAAAACAGTGTACAATTTTTCCTCGATGCTTCCTCTTTGTGCCTTTAAATAAATACGCTTCAACGATGATCCGTAAATATGACGGTACGGATACGAGTGTAATATGTTTCGCGAGTATTTTTAATGCAGGTTAATTGATCGAATCAAGTTATTTAACCTTGAGTAAAGTAGGACATTATTTTTATTTAAAACGTCCGTATGTATACGTATCTGGAAATATACATTTCGCACGGTCGCTAATAATGTCGATGGACCGGTGTCAGGGAGCGGTTAAAATTTAATAACCTTGTACATTATTTCCTATAGGGAATGAAAATTGCGCAAAGAAGAAACGAATCCAACAGTTTCCTGTATCACGATACATATGTATGTCGTAGCTGGTTATTCCTGTTACCCCATTAACCGTCGAATCGTCCGTCCGGCACGTTCAGGTCAATTATCAGATTCCAATTCATCGAGTTGCCAAGTTCCTTTACCACCGACAAACACCAAACGTTATCCTCTTCTCAGCTGTTTCTACAACTTGTCTGTTTCCGAAAATCATCGTTCGTTGCAACACGAACAGAGAACTTTTTTACAAAAGCGCCTTTTCATTGGAATACGTTGAATAGCATATACATACTTCTTTCTCCCCGTAAGATTCGACGAAAAGAATAACTCAGGGGTAAAAATTACGGCAGAATTACTCGTTCCCGGACGTTTCCTGACAAATGCGTTCTTTTATCACCGTTATAGATTTAGAGGATAACCGTGATCGATTGCCCTCGTGCCAGGAGTAGAAGGCAGCTGCGCAACGAGAGAATTCTTCTCTCCGTTTGAAATAAAACCTGGTGTCGTTTCCGATCCTCTTCATCGTTTTTCTTGTCCGATCAACGTCGCCTCGATAATAGGAACGATCAGCTCTACAGGTACGATCCTCGGCTGCGACATTAACGAAATATTACATTGATCGAAAGGATCACGGTGGTATTGCGGGAGAATAGAAACAAACGCGAGCGAGGAATGTAATTGTCCGAGGGGGATGGGACTGGTGGCGGTGGCGGTGGCGGTGGCGGTGGCGGTGGCGGTGACGGTGACGGTGACGGTGACGATGATGACGGAGAGAAATAGCTATGGTTGTTTCGTGTACATTAGCGTTCTCGTTAAATCGCTAATCGAGCGCGCAATCGTCCATCGAATCGAAATCCTATCGAAAACTGTTCTCCCCCAGAGTTTGCCAATCGATGAATCAGGTTTCCGCGAGTGAACTACATTGCCCGACTATTCGGGCTCGTGTCGGCCCGTTATCGAAATTTCACCAATCCGAGCGATCAGCAACGCGACGATGCCAGGCCGGGGCGAGTCGCTTTTGTTGCAGCGACCGTAAACTTGTTATTTTTTCACTTGTTTCTATTTCAAAGCGAATAGAATGAAAATCCCTGTACCGGACTGGCGCGTACCGACGAATTCGGCAAACACGACCGGATGCATCAAACTTCCAAGACCGTGTTTACCCCGATGATTTGTGCCTTGATTTTATTTGCTCGCCTCGACGTGTACCTAAAAAGGCAAGCAAATTAACGAACGAAAACATGACATCGAGCAAACGTATCGTGCGATATCGCGCGATATCGTACGATATACATATGTATTAAACGCGTCACACGAACGGAACCATTGCCGATTGGGCATCCTAACGCTCGTTTGAAAATACTATTACAAAACTAATGGTTTCGTTTTAAAGAAAACGGGTAATTGCATTTTGCGCAAGCTCTCGTTCGAATCGTATCGTGTCGTGTCGTGTCGTGTCGTGTCGCATCGCATCTTTACTTCCCGTCTACTTTCTTTTTTATCAGAGTTCTTTCTGATAAATGTCGACGTTGTATATTCCGTTAGATCTCTCAAAGGGTCGTATTCTCGTTGAAATGAAATGGTGGCCGCTTAAAAGATTGGTGCAATCTATCCAGATGGCCGCATTCGACCAACCAATAGATTTTTTCGCAGAGAAGGTCCTATAAAAGGCGATGCGATCGGGAAATAGGTAAATTCTTTAGGTATAATATGTATACTGGTTCGAAAGCGAGGAAGAAACGTTTCCGTCAAGAAGCAAATAAATTTCCACGAACAGGAATATTTGTATTCGGTGACGCGTAATCCTTGGAACGCGTTACTTCTCGTTACGCTCCTGTTAAATTACGCGTGTACGTATGTAGGTAAGCCAACCTATGCGGCGGTAAACACGGCTCATGTCGATTACTTAATCGCGTTACACGCTCCAACGGGATACCGTCGAAGAATCTTTACGCGTCGCGTCGCGTCGCGTCGCTACTCGTCGTTCCGTCACGTTCCACGATTACGCGAACCGCCTTGCGCGTCATCGATTTAACATCTCGATGCATCGAACGTCATGTTCAAACAACATCGTACCATCGATTCCTCTATTTAACACTCGGTACAGACGACCAGCCAACGATAGATATTTACCATTAATTATTGTAATTTCTATTAGGAATATTTGAAAAACATGAAAGTGGGTTCGAACGATCGAACAAGTTCAGGTTCATTGGTCGCAAGTATAGAGAAACTCTGTATAAGGTTGGGAAAAGGTTGGTCGCGCAACGAGACGATGGAGAATCAAGACATAGTCCGAGTACGTGAAACGCGTTCCCTATCTCTACGTTTTTGATGCTAGAATAGGAATACGTGGAGATCCATCTGCTGATGGCGCCCGCAACGGTTCTATGAATCTTGATGTTGCCTCGAGTTCTCTGGGTCGCGTCGCATCGTGTCGCGTGGCGTCGCGTGGCGTCGCGTAGCGTCGTGTCGATTGCGGGCTACATTTATCGACAGGACATGAAACAGGTTATCCGATGGTACGATCGGCGCGGCGCCTATCTACTCACTCAGAATTCTTTCAGTAAAACGTGAACCAACAGACCTCCAG